GTGGAATGTGTATAGGGATTGGACATGTTGGAGGGGGTATCCCTCGGTCTCATTTCTTGCTGGGTATATTAAACTTAGCTTTGCTCAATCACTGGGCAATATTTCGTATATATCATACTTGCCGGTCGGGTTCTGGTGAGATAAGCAAGGAAAACTCGAAACTACACCATTTGCCAATCACATCTGTGGCTGATAATACAGTGCGCGTATCAACCCCCCCCCCCCGGTACCGCAGAACAAAAATACAGGCATTTCGGCGACTATTACTCTTTGAAATAAATTGATACTCTCTTCCAGTGTGGTGATGTCATTGACTAAGTCCCTATTACCTTTGGCAATCGGGGTCTTATAACACATCAAAACCTTTTTCGTGCATTAATGTTGTTAATCTAAATATTCTGTCAATACTTTTGCAGCACCATTACCTCATCTTTATAACGGATTGTAAATGAAGTTTTGGTATAGTCTGAAAATCATATTTTGCAACCATAATTTATGCATTCATACGATTTTTGACCTTTTTATAGGCACAGACAGCTCCATTACAAATTGTGTTTTTCATTTTCTAGTTGATTTTCTTCTTTTTTTCAATTCACCCAACTGAAAGGTGTTTCAAATCAGTACAGGTCCTTATCCTTTAAACGAATTTTTATTTCCTTATCTAATTGAATGTAATATCATTAAAATGACCAAATTTACTGATAGATTTTAATACGCACAATAAAAATTGCTTCCTCCCAAAAACACACGGTGGACTCTTCATGTGACATCAAAGATGCAGAGGTGTGTGTTGCAAAGGGCTGCAGATTTTGAAAGCGAATTGGGGACTCCACTGGTAGCGCAAGAACAATTGGGTGAATGAATATGGTTGGAAAGGGACCAAATGTCTGCAGGGTGTAACAGAGGTTCTATCTTGCAGGGCAGCTCTTCTGTGCCGCAGGGAAGCCTTCTATGTGCATATCCTGTGTAGCAAAACCGTTGACCGGCATAATGACAGCCATGCACACCTCCTGAGGTCCAATTCAAGGAAAATTCTCTGCCAGGCTGAGGCGCATATCCTTATTGATTCTTTCGAAAAGAGTGGTCTATTTAGGCAAGGAAATTGTGGGATTCTGTCAGTAAGGCCTAGGATCATCTCTGTAGATTCAGAAGCACCCATCTGGGGGCAAAGCAAACAAAAAAGTGATAATTTGTCAGAAGAGCCCAAGGAAGACAAGTGAGAGATGTCAATTGAAAAATAGCCGCTGAGAAGACTTGGGGACATTCACTTTTTCTGGGGGGTGAGTTTGTTTTTGGCGTATAATTACAAAAAATCATTGGTTATCCTACTAAAAATTAAAGATTTAAGGACCAAACACATTTTTTTTAGAGACCTCATCAGGGACTTCAGTTACCTGCCATGGGGTTCCAAACTTCGTTGATTTTACACTATTTTCAATTGAACTTGAATTGGTTCAGTGCACACCTTAAGGCAAACAAGAATTCCGGCGGTATTATTTTGACCGCGAGTGTGGGCTGCCCAGTATTCAAAGCTCTGTTTAGCAGCAGGCCCCACTGAACCAGCCGTTGCATGGTGAATAGACCGTGCGGTACGCACTAATCCTCACACAATGCTGCGGCGTTTGCAGTCCCTGCCGTGAAAGGGTTTTAGATGTACGTGCTTACACTGAAGCGCCACCACTGCATTCTCCATGTAAAAAAAAAAATGTACAGTGGGACAGTGATACAAGTGACACAAACTCTGGTTAGCTGAATGCATTCACATGTAGTGCCAAATTAGTTCGAGGTCATGCTTGAATACTGACAGTGACCTACAAACAATTGACAATAGCTAAATCCTTTATGTCCATTGGCCTTGTGCGGGGGGGGGCATATTGTGACACAGACTCGGACACTGATCCCTTACAGTGCTTTTCAATGCACTCACTAGTACACTTACTTCTCGCCAAATGTGCCGTGACGACAAGTACATGTAACCATGAAACCATCCAAGCTGGTCGGTGGTGTACTTAGTGTATAACTGGCCCAGAGCTATTGCTTTTATCGATTTGCCCCAGATTTATTTTGTGTCATGCTACAGACGATGTTATCTTTATCACTCAGAATTGTCATACGTTTCACTGTTAAACTCTGTGTTTTAATGCTAAACTTTCAACGAAAAGTAAAGCAACTTCGGTGACGGGAATGAAACAGTCTTCGGGAACTCGACACGATAAATATATCCAATATGTCGAAGTGCAGTAAAGAAAATCTTACTGTTACCAATAACTGTATGGTTTTAGTTTCGTATTTTCAAAACATTCTGAGAATGTACAAGAACATCACAATTGTGTCCAATTTACTTAATTTCATACCACTAACCAAAACTATCAACAGGACAATTGTGCGTAGCGCTATGGGGTGCATTTATCGTTTGACCCAAAGAGCTACTTCAATCATGGATCTGATAAACTGTGTGCGAAGTGCATCGGACAGAACAATTCAAATCACACGGCTGACCGATGGTAGTATTTATTCAGGTATCGTATGTACCGTTTATCCAACAGTTGTAAAAACCTCCCATAAATATAAAACCACCAGTAACTGAACGAGCCAAAGCAGACAGACGCCCGTCTTTTTAAGGCTGACATTAACCTATCTTTGGTCGCCTGGATCACTGGTAAGGTGTCATATTACACGCTGATGGCATCTATCGTGAGACAAGTCTTAACGATGGGTGTCCAGTGCGGCTCAGGTTGTCCTAACGCAGGCTGGTATGCCGTCCTCTGTGTCCATATCGACTGGCTGCTATGGACAGGACTCCTCAAAGGTCTAGGGGTGATGCTGCCAACGCTTCAAGAGCAATTCAAGGCCGACACGTGGATGATTGGTGGATTGATAGCGACTATTACTGCCGTTGGCAGTGTAGCAGGTAAATACATATACGTTTTAGTAAAGGTCAGTTAACTGTAATTAAGCACGCTTACAAATTTTTCGAAACGTCTGATGAATGTAGCAAGGTCAAGTACAAGGTCAAGTGCAAGGTCAAGTATGAAAGTGGCATATGATGTAGATGTACAGCTCTACTTTGTTCAAAATGTTAGCAAAAAGAGTCTTCAAATGTTTCCTCATCCACGAGAAGACATGCTAATTGCTATGTCATCACGTCCTATGCAGGTCTGTTATCAAGGCCATTGGATGTATTGTTTGGTACCAGCATCGTGGTGACAGTCTGCGGATTCCTCTTAGGGGCGTCTGTTATCGTGTCCTCCTTCTTGACTGGCACGCTACAGATGACACTTGTCCTGTGCGTAGTCGCTGGTATGTAGTTTTCTTTGTTCCGATTAATACATGTAATAAGCATTTCCCAAGCTGATCAGCCTTGATCGAGTGTTTGCTTGTCATTGGTGTGTTGAAAAGCAGTTGTTCGAAGTGAACTGAATAGTGCGTGCCCATTGTTTAAAAGCTTCCGCTAAAATATCTTTCGGCACTTGGGCATTCTTCGTATTTTTTAAGGTCTCGTACAGCGTGGTGCCTTTGATCGAACTGAGCATCAGAGCTCAGCATGGAATTTTTTTTCATAGGCTTTGTTTTAATATGCAGGGCCTGGTTTGGTGATCCCCAATATTTTATCGAGAGCCATGACGGGTCGTTATTTCACCACGAACTATGCAACAGTGAATGGGATTGCGACCGCAGGAGACGCAGTGGGCTTGATCTTTGCTCCGTTCACTCAAGTGCTTTTAGATACTTACGGCTGGCGAGGTGCCATGCTACTGCTTGGGGCTATCAGCATGCATCTTGGTGTATGTGGCCTCCTGCTAAGACCACCACCGCCATCAGCAGAGGGGCGGGACGACTACCTACCAATCATCTCAAGTGCGAAGGGGCCATCGTTAGACGATCAAGAAAGCGCTGCTGCTGAGAAGAAATCCCTACTCCGCATCCTTAAGGACGCTGTGCAGGCTCGTGGTAATCTTTTCGGCGGCGCAGTTTTCAGACGCGCTGCATTCTGGATAGCAGCCCTTGTTTACGTGGGACATGTCTTCGCGGGCACCCTTTGGCTGATATACTTCATCGCTTATGCCAAATCGAAAGGTTTCTCTGGGTACGAGGCCGTGACGTTCACCACAGCCGCGGGGATAGGGAATCTGGTTATTAGGATTCTATTGGGGTTAATGGTGGACCAAGGCTGGCTGAAGCTACGATTGGCTGTGCTAATTTCAATCACAATTTGCGGTTTGGCTCTATTGACGCTTCCCTGGGCGAACTCCTTCTGGTTGATGATTGGCAACGCCGTCATCTATGATGGCTTCTTTGGGGCAAAGGCATCACTTGTTGACATTTACACCCGGGAACTGCTTGGAGCCGAAGAACTGGTGTCCGCTTTCAGCTGGATGGACTTACTGACTGCTATTATTCAAATCACTTTCGGATTCTTCCCTGGTAAGGAATACTCGAATACTGACGAGTTTTTTTTACTTTGCTGAGATTGAGATTAAACATAGCAAAGGACCAGTATTTATTTGACGGACAAGAAACATCTTTAACATTAAAAAGAAAATAATGCATAAAAGATATGTTTTTCCTTCCCATAGCTTTGTTAGGGCGTCTGGGATATGAGATGGGCAAAAGGATAAATGTTTCTTGAATATCTCTAAAATGAAACGATTCTTCTACCGCTACCTGGCAGAATACACCCTTGAGTAACTCATCTTGCACTATTTACCAGGTTGGATATTCGATCAGACTGGAAGCTACCACATGGCATTCATCATCTTGGGATTAATCTCGTTTCTGCCGTTGGTGTCGCTGCTCGTGGAAATTGTAATCAACAAAGGGAAAGGTTAATGTTGACGGTGAATAATCTCGTTGTCCTCAACATTAGTAAAGGCTATTACATTAACATCGGTGTCACGCAATTCATTATTACAAATCCTAAATTACTATTGTGACAAACATTATAAAAGTCCGAGATAATCATCCCTTTGAGTTAGAATTATGTCGGGTAAAAAACTGTAGAATAAGGGCTTCGCTCTGAGGAATGTCAACCGAATCACTTTTGCTACCGAGAAAAATGCAGGTCAGGCAGATATGCTTGAGGCAAAATTAATCCCAGGAAATAATAAAGCTGATATTAAAAAAAACCTCTACTCAAAAGGGGTGGCTACACAAATGCGAAAAAGTGAGTTGGTCGGGAGCGTAGATGCAACTGAATTCGAAACACACCGCGCCCTTCTACGTGAGTAGTTGGGTGGGGGGCAGTTGAGCACAATTTGACCTTTGTGCAGTTGGGCACAGTTTGACGTTTGGTATAAAATAGCAAAAGGTCACATGAATTGACATAAGCATAAAAACTATAATCATAATGATATTAATAGGGATAAGTTGTAGGTGTGAAAAATTATGGCACAAGATGACCTCTAGTGACAGGAATAACATAGGGTCAGAAAGTCTAGTGTGACCTTTTGTATGGGATGAACATAAATATGGAATAGCATAGGATCAAAAATGATGGTACACGTTGACCTGTCCTCTGAAATTATGGCACAACAGGATGAAATAGGATGATGACCAATAGACGATGAGTCATATGCTGCGTTATGTCATGACAGGGAGATCCTGAATGAAATTAGGGGCAAGGAAGCGATAATCCCTGTAGACCATGGGCCAGAAATCAAAGCTTCACTGGAACTAGAGGTAGGTTCTCACTTTCGAGTAGCAACATGGAATCATGTGCTCTAGGTCGATGTGAAGGTGCTGAATTCAAATCTGCCTGTTGCCAGGTCGTCAGACTGCTCCGAAGGTCACCACAAGAGGGCGCTTATCCCATTTTTGCTCATTTTTTATGAAAACAGTATTTTGAGCACAGTTTTCCCATTTGTTCATTAAATGCTTTTTAATTTGGCACAGGTACTATTTATAACATTTCATGCAGGGGGGGAAGGAAAACTGGGGCTTTCTTGCGCAGCCCAACTGGCCACCATCTTGTTTTCATGTAGATGGCAAAGGAAAAACGAGACCCCATTTACAGGTATTGTGAAAAACCTTTCTGTTAATAAAACAATGGAGGAATGCTAGAATCTCTTAAATATGGTTAACCACTTTTATTGAATCTTTACAGGGCACTTTTAAGTTTTTAATGCTTTAATGTTGACGCTATGTACGTGTGTTGATTGTTGACCCGTAATGACACTAAATAGCCTACATGTAGCATAACTGCTTTGATAAGCCCTCAGAATACTAAACATCACAGATATAATCAGAGTCTGAGCCTTTGGCAACTTCAATCAAATGTTTCACATCATTTTCTGCTTTGGCTGATTCAGGGTTGACAATTTTCGGTTTAAAAAACAATTACAATCTGTTTTTTTGAAATTTAAGTCGTTTTTATGTCTGTAAATAAATATGCAGTCAAATTGGCATAATAGCATGTATCTGTTTTCAACGCAAGTAATTTTTGGCACGTGTTAAGAGGCAATCTGGTATGGTTTTTGATGCATCTCCCTCGTGATAGAGTAATAACTAACGCTTGATTAAAATTCACTCGATTAAGAAACTTTTGTTACTGGTTTCACAGCATAGTAACCAACACTTCTTATGTCATTGAAATTCACGTGTACTTGTTGAAATGAAAGGTACAATACGGTAGATGTACACTGATGCCTTTATACATCTTAAACTCAGAAGTGGACACTTTAAATACTGGTAGTGAAATTAATTTAAATCATATAAATAAACCCGTCACTTGAATCCATGCACTGAATCCAGTTTAAGCAGAAACAGAGGACTTGAATTGAGAAAGAATCCAGCCAGCCTAGAATATGTGTGTGATGCATAATGCTTTTAAACCTAACCCTAACCCACTAGGGCCTTTTTAATAGGGCACATCCTGTTTAATAGAGCTTTTAATTTTGACTTACAGGGATGACAAAAGTGATGAGGACACTTTTCATACTTCTGGCTCGGTTAAACCAGTTCTGGATTGCGACAAAAACCTTTTCACGAATAAAAAGTAACCGAGCGAAAATCCATTTTTCAGCCATGGTAACAAGTTGATTTTCTAACGGAGAATTTCTTCCAGAAACAAAGTTCATGAGTAAAAATTCCATAACTGATTCCAACAAATTAAAAACTAGAACACGTGTAAATTGTCACTCAACTTAATCAGCTGTACGGTAAGCTGTCAACAATACTGTCCCCACGCCACGCACTGACAAACCCATTACGTCACATTTCTGGTAGGTCAGTATAGTGGAGTTTGTAATGTACCTATATTTGCGCGCACTTACCGGGCGATCCAAATTTAGGGGGGAAAATTAATGTGTTCAGTTTCCAGCCGATTTTCGAAACGGACATTCTAATTCATTTGATTAGCTGTAAACGTAAATATGACTGTCGAATACGAAAAAGGACTTTGGAATTACACTTATTTGGTGACTTAGCCTATCGCCTTTTTCGCCGATTTTTTGGCTCCAGTGATTTTAACAAACTCAAATATCGAAGTGTGAACTAGAAATCTGGCCAAGTCTAGAAAGTTTGAGAACAATTTTTTTAACTTTCAAATAGAACTTGTTTTAGTATGCGCGCTGAAGACACAAGCAACACAATATTAATTAACAAGTAGGTTTTAATTCAAACGATCCAGAATTAGGAAAAATCTGGAACTAGAGAAACGACTCTCAAGCGTCATGACTTTATTTGCACGGAATTGCTGTTGAATTCCGTCCCCTATAATATTTCAACTTGACTTTTTTGTAGAAATAATTATTACAGAAATAATTTGTACTTTCCCGAAATCGCATCTGCTTCCTTAATCAGAACCAGCATAATTAACTGACACAGACAAACCTACACCCCAAAGACAAGAAGGAGAGGCACAATTTACAACTGACGGTGACATGACTGACAAATGTTGGCAACATGAAACATATTTCACCGACTTATCTCTTTAAATTGTGACATTTCTCCTGATTCGTCGTAAGCAAGGCAAACGCCCGTCTGTCCATGTTCACTTCGAGTGCCACTTGTCCCCAGGTAGGTGCAACCGTGGTATTTCACGAGCTCAAATTTATGAAGTATCGAGGTTGGAGACAGCGCCCTCTATTGGTATAATGGAGAAAGGAGAACAAGACACGAGCACTTTTGCATTTTTATACCCTTATTTTTCACATTAAAGAGCAAAGCATCTGGATGGCAACAGACAAAATATTTAATCATAGTATGTAAGGTATTTATTAGAAACAAAAGTAAGTTGCCACTCCAAACTTTTAACCAACCTGTAATCTTTGATTTCATGCCCGCGGTGTACTAGACAAAGAGCCGTACGACGTGCCGTCGGGTAATGTTACGGATAATCCTTCAGACAAATAATGGACAGTATGTGGCGCCAGGTAATGGGGGATAATCTTTCGGACAAAGTGTCTTACGCGACGCTGTGTGGGCCAGTGTGTGCTTCAGAGTGTGTGTTGGTCGAACTTAATCCTTGGACACTAAACGAGAGAGGGCGGGCACATGCTAACGGTCTTGAGTCAGGCTTACGATGGTTACAGAGATATGATCAATACAGGAAGAAGACCCGGCTGTCCCTGGCTGGGTTTCTTATTCCTTTTAACATGATTGTTTTACTTCCCGTTACCCTGTACATGTATATGATTGTGGCTCTGGCTGAACTTTTGTAATCTTTTGAACTGGTGTTTTACGTCCGGTTACCCTGTGCACGTATACGGTTTTACAAATTCAAATAGAGCGGTGCGTTACTGTTATTCTTTATCGTGGAGTAAATGTAAAATACCAGTATCTCATAATATAAAAAAAAAATATGAATACCCGTGGGCGGTGCGACGTCACTACGGATACTTAACACGTAGCAAATTTACCCACCATGCTATGAAATAATGTGCACAGGTTTCCGGCCGGTATCCCACCCGATAATTATTATTCGATAGTCATACAAACATTACCAGCACACTGTCGTAGAAGTTGGTACCTTAATACGTCTACACAAACACCCCTTGCACAAGGGGTTTGTGTAGAAACCCTGTCAGACCTCACGTATCTACTCCTAACCACGTTCAATTAACTCGGCAGGGGAGTTCAGACTCAGCGACTGCTGAAACGGCAGGATATGCTGAATACACTATACAATACAGTACTATACAGTACATGTGTTTATGCATGCTCACAGTGCACATTGATTATGTCGGTGACCAGGATGGTATCAGAAGGCCGTTTCAACCTCTTCTCGTTTTAACCCGTTTTAAATGCATGATGTTTCGTCATGGATGTGGACAGTTACTGTTAAATAAACTTCATGCAGCGGGGATTTTTTGCCAACATTTTCACCAGCTTGATTGCCCCAACCTTGTTTGTCACAACTCATCCTGTTTGTTTTCATTTAGTTGTATTTATAAATTTACAAACCGTGATCACAGAAATTTATGAACATCATAACGCCAACTTTATTAGTTCCTTATCTCATTATGTTGTATACTTTATGCTTCAACAAAAGCTGTTTCCTTTGTGGAATTGGCTCACTTTGGAAAGGGTTACAGTTTGCGAAAATGATCTGAGCTTCATGACTGTCTTTTGTGTTATTGAGTTCAGCTGGGAAAGCCTATAGCGGATCAATGGGCATAATAATTGTTTGAAAACTTTATTACTTTTCCATGGACGACTGGAATTACTGGTGTAATAATTTCGATGCGGAGCCCATAAATGGATCAACACTCACATTCCTTGATCAAGATTGAAGACAACGCAAAAAAAGGTTGGAAACATTTGACACCCTGAGAATCAAGGACTTGTTGCAAGGGAGAATTTTTTATTTAGGCAAGGAGAACGCCAAAGACGAACAATATCACTAACAGCCTTTCTAAGTTTATTGTTTGGAGGTAATTCCCTCCGGAACAATAGCAGCGTTGCAGGGTCAGAAGACGTTAAACAACGTACAAATGCTGTAAAATCAAGATGAATACGTCTTCTTTAATTTTCAAATGAGCCAGAAGGTAGAGACTTTAATAGCGACCACGACACAGGCCTATGAATGATAAACCAGCCGAAAATTACACTACGCCTAACATACAAAACGAGCAAGAACAACAGGGTAGAAATGAGACTGATTAGCTGGTCACCTCCAGACAGGAGAAGCACGTGATGGTGAGCAGCCTGCAAGAGAATTCCCCGACAACAATCCCCTGCTTGCAGAAATAGAACATAACCCAGCCATTCTTGACAGCTACAGAGTTCCAAGTTGGAAATGGTGCAATTCCACATCACATCAGAAAGCGAGGCGCAGAGAGGAAAAGCAACAAGTCATTACATAAGACAGTTACTGGTATTGAAAAAAAAAAGTTGTAACAACCCAGATCCCCGAAACTGTGACTGCCGATCCAGAGAAATTGCCAAAAGATTACGGCAGCAGACGGAGAGAGTAATGGGCATTGCACGCGACATTAATTTCGGTGAGAAAGAATATTTTTTACTACGTATGGCTTTGACTGTAGCCTGCAGAAAGGGGAAATAAATGAAAACGTGGCTGCTTGGAATGGCCTTCACAAAAGGCAACATAATTTCTATCTTGAAGATGACACGGCATTTCCATGTTTCCATGGAAATAATCGAGCATCTCCTACAACTATTGCCTGGTTTCTTTGCTCCTAGAAGACAAACTGCCCCTGTGAAAGTTGAGGTGAATGCAGAGTTAGCTATTCTTCATCCTAAGCACAGAGGCAGTGTTGCATCGTGTTTCAAACTTATGTACTGATTGGAGGTTTGAGTATTGAGAGGACACGCTAGAACAATTTTGTGTCGCAAATAAAAATATGCTAAGCCTGTAAAACAACGCAGGATAATAAAAGCATGCGTATAAATGGAAAAATATGCCAAGGGATACGACCCGATATGCATCGGTGAATTCAAACAATACTACTTATTAATTCCCCACTTGACTGATCGTGTTCATGCACGGTGGTATTGTTTGATAATAAATAGTAAATAGGAGTGGGTTTCCGTTTTAATTCAGTTTGGAAATGTAAATTCAATAAAAACCTAATGTTTAAGGTGTTCACTTTTGCTGTTCTATATTGATGTAACAGTTACCGATAATTTTCAGTATTTGGCAAAGGTAAACTTTAAGTGAAGTTTATTAAATCGTTTTCCCAGTAACAACATTGAAGTGCATGCTGGCGATTACAACTACAGACATTTTGAAACCATCTTCTTATCTAAGATGTTATAGCGGCGTCATCATATCTCCTTTATATCAGAGGTATATTTAGCATTATTTTCATGTGTAGAAGTGAATGTAATGTTAAAAATAATTGAGACGAAAAGGGTACTTCTACAGGTTTAATCGAATTGTCACCTCATATTAGGCATGCGCCCCCTACTGACTAGAATGAAAATTCCACCCCAAACTCGCATTCCCTTTTTTCATCGGCAACCAGCTCCGTCTGACACGGTTAATCCGGCGAGGCATTTCGCATCCCTTTCTCAGCCCAGTCGCATCCCCTTTTTCACCGGCAACCAGCTCCGTCTGACACGGTCAACCCGGCGAGGCAATTTGCATCCCTTTCTAAGCCCACGCGCATCCCCTTTTTCACCGGCAACCATGCTTCAACAAACGGAAAATGTGACTTTAAACTGTCCACAATTAAAGAAAGCCTTAATTTCTTGAAATTGGGGACTCGGTCAACTGATTCCTATTTCAAATATATAATTCGGAACATTGTTTTGCAAGAAAAATCCTATATAGATTCCATAAATAAGGTCTTTGGAATGA